AACAAAAAAAGCCTAAAGGAAGGGAAGGAAAAAAAAGTTGGATTTGTTTATCATTGAATGATGGTTAGCGCTCATGATGTATATCAGCTTTTTATTATTTTTTTTTTCCACCTACACAGACATGTAAGGACTCAAATGGTGTGAATAAATTTTATATGGGGAAAACATTGCGAGGCAATTTCCGAACCATTGTTGCGAGGGAGTTCAAAGCGAAGAACTGATATCTCTTGTTCTTCACCGCATGGGTAACTGAATTGAAATAGGAATTAAAATGTTTCAAAATTTTTATTTTAAAATCTTAGTTTTCGCCCTTGATATGAGGGCTTTTCAAAGAAATCTCTTTTTATCATTCCCCAGTTGAAAGCTCTAGTTTGACTGACATGTTAGGCATTGAGGAGGCCATTGCCAGGAGCCTATTGTTTTTTTAAAGAGATTTGGAGGCCGCAGTTATCCCTTCCCTCTTTGATAGTCCGGTATCAACACTTACGTCGTTCCCAGCTTCTGTTATATCAAGCTCTTCTTCTGGTGCCGGTCTATAAAGGACTTCCTTTAAATGCTTCACTCGACCTAATTCCTGGTCTTTTTCAGAGATGAGCAGCTGTCCATGTTTATCTCATAAGGGGGGGGAGGGGGGGGAGGGGGCATGCCGCCAGTGTATCTCCCGACAGATCAATTTAGGGATTTTAAAGACATTTCTCTGCTTTCCTTTAGAAAATAACGCAGGCATAGTTCCGTGATTATTTGTTTTGGACTTAATTCCTTAATTGATAATTGCGATCTCTATTTTTCAAACAATAAGTTATATTTTTGTCTTGCAAACTGTCTGTCCTTCCGTGCAAATAATTCAGCACAACCTTACAATTATTATTACCATTATCATATTTATCATAATTGTTTTTACCCTTGCTTTCGTACCCGGATATTTTGACGCCTTGACATGCTCACGTTCAACTATCGTTAGAAAGTTTTCGTTATAGGAAAGTTTTAACCCATGAAGCCTTTACTATTTTTTTAGTTTTCATTTTTTTCTCAACTGATCTTGTTTATGTAGTGCTTTAATTCTAACTTTCGCATAAGTATTCAGTTTCGTAACGTTGCACTCTACACAAATCTTCTTCAATTTCTCTTTAGTTATTCAAGAATCTATTTTTGTCAGCCAGTTGTATGTTAGTTTTGATATTAGGAAATTACGAACTACAAGGGAAAAATGAAAAGCATCTTTATTTCCAAACCATCGTTGTAAAGGATTTCCATCAGGGCAAGTATTTTGCTTTTTGTACTACAAATGTATGTAACTAAATTGAATTTGTGCGGAATTTCCAAAAGCTATCAATTTAGATGTGAAAAGCTTAGTCCGAGTCTTGACGCGGGGCTCGCAATGGATCTCCTTTTCGTCCTCCGCCAAGCGATTTCTCGAGTTTGACCAGCATGAACTGGGCATGCATGCTTAAACTCTCCACAACTGAACACCACTGTAGTTACTTTTTAGACAAAGTCATGGTCTTACCAGGCGCCGTAACAGATTACGCAATACAAGAAAACACTATCTCATACATGGATCTGGCTGCTCTTACAATCTGCATGATTGCGACCTAGAATCCCTCCGATGTTAAACCCAAGGATGAACAGTGTTTGTTCAGCTACGCCGTCCAGAGATATCACAATGAAATGTTGATTTGCACATATATCCCACTCTAGCATACTATATTCATATGAACAAAAGGTTTGATTGACTTTGTCTTACTAAAGTTTCACAAAAGCCAAAATACAAATGTTGTTCATGATCAATTCCTAACACCCTTTCCGAGGCTTATGAAGGCATGTAATATATTTTTCCAACTTTCTATGTTTGTGCATTTAAGGATCAACTGCGCTGTATTTTATCCGGATCAGCATTTGTGAGAAGTGACGGGGGAAACGCCTTTGTATTAAAAAAAACTCTCTACAAACTTTTATCGAGCGTATTATTGATAATGTGATTTCGCTTGTTGTTGTCTATTCATTTATGTCTCTCTTTCTTTTTTTTTTCTTAAAGACTTTTAGTGGTGGGAGCCTCCCCAGTGACAAACTATTTCACCACCTTTGTTTCATATGGAGCAATACAAACGGAGATGATCACGCCTGGATGGATGGAAAAGTCGTCAGAAAGGGCTCTGGCCTTTTCAAGGGAGGCATGATAAAACACGGAGGTACTTTGTCACTGGCCAAAACCAAGACATAGTTGGAGGAAAATTCGGCCCAGACGAGTCCTAGACTGCGGTCAAGTGTCCGGATTGAATGTATGGAGCTCGGTTCTGTAAGAGAGCGACATAGTAGATCAGTATCGCAATTATTACGTGACTGCAGGGATCGACGATTATGCGGTCCCAGTTGTACGCTAAAGAAAAACTTCAAGGAGAAGCATATGTTTATTTTGAAGACGTTAACACGTGTTGAAAACAGTCTCGGATTTGAAATAAAGATAACTTACCAGATCCAGTTCTAATTGTTTCGTTTTTGTTTGGAACACGACACGATTTGTATGATTTCTTTTTTCTCTTTTCCTTTCACAGTATCACCTTAATTTTCCTCGACCTTTTTTTTTCGCAATCCTCAACCCTGGCATCAATGGATTTCCAAAAACAATTAGTGGGAAAATTAAAAAGATATTCTTTTGAAGTCCGTGCTATTCCATACTTTTCACATGCAGGGTTATTGGTTTTGCTAACTGAGTCGCTAAAAAAAGAAACACAAGCTAAAATAAATTGGGGTTTTAAAAAAGAAGGTGTTCAGAGATATTGACCTTTGCTTCTTTCCTTCACCGTTTAACTGCCCCATAAATCTAGATATACATAGACTTTCCCTTTTTCGTACTGTGCTCTGCGTAAATAAAAAGAATGTCAGGCCCAACAAAGATGTGGCCTCAGTGTTAGAAAGCGATATTTCATTATTGTACAGGTATTACATATGCGTTATCACGAAAAGTTACGGAAAAGGACTGCGGAAAATATCTCCGAAACAGTGATCGTCACACAACGCTAAGTACGAGTCATCAGAAGAATTTTGTAATCGAGATTCAAAACACAGCTGCTTTCAAGAATTTCTATATTAAAAAAAATGCTCTACTTATCCAGTAACAGTTTTGAGTGTGGAGAAAAACTACTTTGCACATCTTAAGGAGTTGGCGAAATTGTAAGAGCATTGTGAATGCAGGGTGTTTTCCCATATTACATTTTCTTTAAAGTACGGAATTGCCATCCTCAAACACGTTGACCCAAAAGATTTAGAAAAAGACCAGCGAATAGTCTCTCCAGAAAGACAATTCCGTTTCGTATTAGAACTGTTGCGCCTTACATGTCAATAGCCATATTACTTCATGGTCCTCTATTCTAATGGAGATTTATATGAAATAATTCCAATAATAAAAAAAAAGAAAAAAACATAACAATAGGTAACGCTATTGAAAAATACAATGGTATTTATATTTAAATTAGCATTTCTGGTGTTTCTGGTCAAATGGTTATCGTGGGAGTCAAGAGGGTTTTTTTTTTTTTTTTCAATACAGTCAATGTGACATTTCTCCCAACCCTTGGATCTGGCAGGCACATTCGCTCTCACTACTTAAAGTTGTCTATGAACAGGATTTTCGATAAAAATTTTCCAACAAAAGGTTTAAAATTTGAATACCACGAGTAATTTTTAGAACCTTTGGAGGAACTTTTACAGCAGGTGTTTCAATCTGCAAGAGCAGACTCGATTTTAATTGAAAACTAAAAAAATATCTTGATTGGAATTTTTACCAAAAGAAGACATGTCGAAGTTTGCTAATCTTCATTAACAAGTCAATGAGAGTGGAATCGAATGCAAACATGTATATAGGGAGGATCCTAAAGAGACACGAATTGGTACGATATCAAGAAGAAAATAAGAAAGGGCGATGTTTAGAAAATGGCGCGGGAAGAGTTCCTCCAATTATATGTCTTGGCATTTAATTTCTAGATAAAAAGTGAAACTATCAAAAAAAAAAAAGAAAAAAAATTCGATCTTAATATTTCTGTCATGCAAATTGTCTGTCCTTCCGTGCAATTAATTTAGTACAGTGTTATTATTATTACTATGATCAAATTGATCATAATTTTTTTTTTTACCCTGCTTTCGTACCCAATTATTTTGACACCTTGACATGCTCACGTCCAACTAGCGTTAAAAATGTGCCGCTTTGAGAAACTTTTAACAACTGTTTTTAAGTTTTCAATGTTTGGTTGTGTAATATCTTAATTCTAACTTTTGCTTCAAGTACTCAGTTTCTTGACGTTACACCATACTTAACAAATTTCTTTTCAGTTATTTAGGAATTTCTTATTGTTAGCTAAGTACGTTCGTTTTGATATTAGAAAATGACAGAGAGAAGAATAAAAGGCATCTCAGAAGTTAATAATTTGGTAGTCAACGTAACAAATCTATCAGAAAGCATTCTTTTGTCTCCTTTTATCGACACGGTAGTTCCGAAAATGAGTACGAATGCAATCAGACAAGGTTTATAAGGGTGTAGCTGAACACACCTTTCACTATTTCGAGTTTGAGTCTCGAGAAAAGCATTTCATCCTCTCATTTTTGGAAGTCACAAGTTTCGGGAAAAAGGTAAGGATTGCGGTGCTGTTAACCCATACCGCCATTCTATTGGAAATCTTTGATTTTAAAAAACCCTTCTTTTTAAACTTTTTTCTTTAAAGCTGCTGTTAATCGTATTATGAGCAGGGGTGCAGTGTCCACATTATTCAATAATGTGCAAACAAGGCCTAGGTGAAGGAAAGACCAAAGGAACATAAATATAAACAAATTTCTGGGTTTCGGTTTTTTTTTTTTTTTTTTGAACTATTGCATTTAATTACGTTGCCTTGTCTAGCGAAACCTTAACATTTGTTCTTTTTCTTCTAGCTTTGCAGAAACAGAGAACAAATGAATTACCTTTGGATCACTACGTGTCTGCTTGCGGGCTTATTTGCTTCAGCGTTGGCCACGGAGGAAAGCAGGCTGGAGAAGAGGCAACAATACATGTGTTTTCCTGGGGAGAGAGGTCAGCAAATGAAATAAATGCAAGCTTTTTCCTGCTTCCCCTACTCTTTGATAGACCATACAATACCGCCCTTTTACCTGACTGGTCCATAACTTGATGTAGATAGACTCTTCAACAGCCCGTGAGGAGTGCTAATCAAATTAAGGGGGGCAGTAAAATTAAGTTACCTGAGCTCCACTTCTAGGCTCGTCTAAATCTATATTATTTGTCTTCCGAGACTTGTTACGTTGATTAATGGCAGGTAGAAGTTGTCGTTGGAAATTATTCACCTAATCTTGGTATGCTTGGACGCTAACGTAACCTATGAAACTAAGAGTAATGGGTCGCTTATTATCAATAAAAAAGACTAGATTTCCATGACCACTTTCTTCATCGAAACTCACTTGCTCAATTTTATGATATAGTTTTAATGATATCGATTCCATCGAAAAAAATTGCAATGTAATTTCAGAATCATTGTTGCAAAGGATGTGCTCCTCGACCTGTATTTCGTGCTAAAACACAACATCAGTAATTCAATTGAAGTTTCATTTTCTAAGAAGCCTTAAATTTGACGGGAAAAGCTCATTTCTCGTCCTTGAAGCGCGAGTGGTCCAAAGGATTCTCTTTTCATCCCCTCAGCTGAGCGACGGTTCGAGCAAAGTCAAAATCAAATTCGCAGGTGTGCTTCAATTCATCACATCCTAAGCGCAATTGTACTTTTACCTTTCAGACAAAGTCATGATATTAAAAGGTCCCGTCACGGATTTTGCAATGAAGGAAAACGCCATCGTGGTCGATCTGTCTGCTGTTACAATCTGCATGATTGCAAGCTGGAATCCTTTCAATATAAAACCTAATGATAATCAATGTGTGTTCAGCTACGCAGTCCCAGGATCAGATAATGAATTGACGCTCTGCACATATCCCACTTCCCGAGTGCTTATCCATGGCAACAGAAGGTTAAGTTAACTCTTTGCTAATTTACCTTACAGGAGCAGAATAGTATCGTAACGGTCAAATGTAATGTAATTCCTTGAGAATATCCCTGAAATATATATCTTTCTCAACATTTCAGTGTACGTAAGCAAGGATGAAACTGCTCTATGTTTTAACAGGATTAGCATTTGGAGGATGTGGAGGGCAGAATTGAAATAATTGTATCTTGAAAAAAAAGCATTTCCTAAAATGTGATCGAACGTATCATTGCTGAGGTTTTTTTTTCTTTTAAACTTTTAATTTCTGATTTTTCTTTTAAAGAGATGCTGGTGACAAAGGCCTCCTCAGTGATGGGATATATCACCACGTCTGTTTCACATGGAGCAACCAAAATGGAGATTATCAATTCTGGCAAGATGGAGAAGTCGTCGGAGGTGGCTCTGATCTTTACAAAGGAGGCACGATTAAACGCGGAGGTACTTTGGTCATTGGACAAGACCAAGACGAGGTTGGGGGAAAATTCGACCCAGATCAATCTTGGATCGGTAAAGTGACTGGATTGAATGTATGGGGAACGGTCCTGTCAGACAGTGACATCCAAGCTCAGTTCCACAATTGTCACGTGACTGCGGGATCTGTGGTTATGTGGTCCCAGCTGTATGCTGAAGAAAGTCTTCACGGCGACGTAATTGTTTCTGAAATTCATTCTTTTGAAAACAATCTCTGGTAGCTGACACTGATATGAAATAAATATCCATAACCAGATCCAGTTTTAATTATTTCGTTTTTTGTTTGGAGCTTGACACCATTTCTTTCTGATTCGTCAAACCTGAATTTCTTTCCATTTAAATTACCACCTTTTCCTTCCTTGACCTTTTCTTTCCTCTTAAATTTGCCAATCCTGTAATTTATGGAAAAATTCTTAGCTTTAAGATGTAAACGAATTACAAACCTATCAACCATTTTACAAGCTGCACAAACATTCCTGCATTTTGTGAAGATTCCTTAAGGCTATATTGCGTCTTTTCTCTATATTTGCGTCTTTTCGAGGGTTAGTCCTTCGTCATTCGTTCTGATTTCTCCCGGAGATTGATTGTAAAAGTAAGATATTTAAAGATAAATTTGTCTCACAGTAATGAGGAGAGAGTATGATGGATCTTCTTCAGGCACGTCGGTTCATCTCGAGGCCCAGATTCATTTTTCTCCTCGGTACTAAAGCAGTACAACCCCTCCTCAATAATAATGTAATCGTTACTGACTCCCACACCTGAACACCTTTGTGGGCAAGAACTTGTTGTTGTTTCTTTTCGTTAACCTGATGGTTTTTCACTTAATTTCCTATTTGTTGTTCCTCTTCTCTGGTATACAAACACCTCATGTCCTATCTCCGCTACAACAAAGAAACAGTCCTATAAAATCTCCTTTGTTTACTCTCACCTCGAGTGAGTCCAATTAGCAATTAGACTGCCGGTCTAAATCCCACAGGGATCAACGAACGCTTTTCATTCCACTAATTTATTCGTATTTTTCTCGTTGCCATGTTCCCACCAATAACGTAGCTCCATTTTCTGCCTTTAAAATTACACACAATCCACAATTCTTCTATTCGCTCCCACGAAGTGCTAATGCTCGAAATGTCAGCTTTTGTAATCGTTACGGTGGCCAATTTACCATTTCAACTTTGTTGATATATCCAAATTATTTCGTTACCCCCACCGACGCAGCCTCAAACAGTTTCTTTAGAAACTATCAGCCTTTATTCACTCTACAAAATACTAAAAGTAATGTACACTTGTCCTTCTCCAGTTTATTTCAATCAGCTGGTCTCATTGAAGCGAGGTACAAAAGTTTTCAGTCAACGGCATGAGTCGCGTTCTAATGAGTTAATTCTATGGAAACTGATCATATTAAGAAACTGTACACATTGCCGCACATATTTAACTCATGACGAAAATGAGTTAGCTCATGACAAAGGAATTTAGCCAGAATGTGTTTTGACCACCTTCACATTAATTAATTTGAATAATCACTTAAGAGTGACGAGGTCGTTAAAAAAATCGCCGTTATGCTTCATTATTAGAAACGCAATTTAACGTAAATTAATTTTGATAATTAAGCTGCATTTCAAGTTCAACCGACTCAACTGATTAAAGTGTATACTAAATACTTTCTAAAATTGGAATTGTGAGAATCATTTGTAAAAGAAAATGACTGATGTTTATGCGGGAATAAAGGGTTCACCATTTCCGAAAGCAGACATTGACAATCATTTATCATGATCACTACTTTAATTGGACAAAAGCTTTTAAAAATATTGGACCGTATTATTCCTAACTACCTATGGTTTTATGTAAAATACTCGATCTAAGGTACCATGTGTTCTTTGATATTCATTCCCTACCACTTACAACACTCGTAACCTCGATTTGGGTCTACAGTTATTCCCTTTACATATACTTTCCACTTCTTCTTTACGACTACCTCCTCTTACTCTCCAAAGTTGTTGAAAAGTCGCTGCTGCATACACGTGCATCAACGGGTAAACATACTTTGAAGACCGCTTCCTGTTTCGTGTGCGCAAAGAGTGCCCGAGGGTGTTTAAAACATAATTTTCATGTGTGTAATGATGTCTAAGAAACCGCAAGCCGACGGCAGAACAAAAAAATTAAACCAAAAAAAAGAAATAATAATAATAATAATAATAATAATAATAATAATAATAAAATAAGGAGACAAACAAAAAGGGAGAGAGACAAACAGTGCTCATACACGTCCATCAAATTCAGTGATACATTTCTTCATCGTGACAGTACCGGGTACTGTCGCGATGAAGAAATGTATCTAGGATATGGAATTTCCTAACGTGGCATTCACTGACTGAGTCATTACAGGAAAATAATTGTACTCCCTACGCAGGTAAGGCTGGGAAAATCTGGCAAAAAAAAAAAAAAATTCCCATATGAAAAAAGTCGTATTGGTTGTGGTACCACAGGCAGCCCAAGCTCTCTTTGAGAACCACACAAGGAACACAATTTGCCTATCGATTTATAAGGATTTGTATGGGATTTTCTACAAGATAGCCATAGAGATAGTTAAAAGTGAAAATATTAAATAAAAATGGCTTACCTTATTCCATACGTGTGTTGCTTGCTCCTGGTGTCGTTATTTTACCGATTTCACTTGATTTAAGCGGTTTTTTTTNNNAAAAAAAACCGCTTAAATCAAGTGAAATCGGTAAAATAACGACACCAGGAGCAAGCAACACACGTATGGAATAAGGTAAGCCATTTTTATTTAATATTTTCACTTTTAACTATCTCTATGGCTATCTTGTAGAAAATCCCATACAAATCCTTATAAATCGATATGCAAATTGTGTTCCTTGTGTGGTTCTCAAAGAGAGCTTGGGCCGCCTGTGGTGGTACAGGCTCAAAGGGTAAAGACAAGTTTTGTTCGTGGCGTTTTGCCGTCATCATGTCGAACAACAACATGATCGAAATATTAACCTTCGTAGTTGTGACCGCATTTGTGGTTATTAACCCGAATTGAAACAGCTGTGTTAAACATGCTTTTTTTTTAAATATTGGTCTAACACGCTACATAAACATCCTAAAACAATGAAAATATTCATTATGGGAAATACTTTTCCGTCTTGGGAGACAGGATGCGGAAGTTGCGTAAACGGTACAATTGGAAGCAATGGTCTATGTCAAGTCAAGACTTTTGCTACGTAAACAATACATGCTATTGCAAAAGCAGGTTTAAAAGTTGTTATCCAGACCAGTTTCTGCGTTCGGTTTTTGACGTATCAGTACTTTCTATTTCTACAAAGGAAGATGCGGCCCACACTTGTTTATTTTGCGGTAATTGTCTGTGCAAACTCGCCTGGTAAGTTTTTTTCCTACTTCTAGAGCCGCACCTGTACATATAAAGTCAACGTAAGCTTCATTTATTGTGTGTACAGGACGTTATAATATAAAGTGGTACTGAAAAACAGATATTCGACAATAACAACTTCTGCATAGGTTCCAAAGCTGAGGAAATTTCGAGTTGAACGCATTTCGTGACAGTCACAGTTGGAGCTGATATACTTATTTATGTACTTGTAATTTAAACAAACGCTGAGCTCAATTCAATTTACTTGCACGGTATATTCATAGCTAAGGTAACTGCCATGATCGTAAGTACCCATCGATAGTGACATTCAAACAGATGCGTGGCAGTGACCGTGAGAAGGTGAAAAGGGAAAGTATTATTGAACTCTCTGTCTCGGTGAAGTATTCGTTATTGAAACTCAGTGGCGAGTCACTCGAGACTGTGATTCTCTCGTTATTTTTACGTTGAGCCGGACACTGATCCTATTTCGCGCTCTGAAGAGGATATCATTATACTTGACTTGGATTTGTCAATATATGACGAAACTTTCTTTCTAAGCAAATATCTCGTACGTTCAATCGTTTTTATTATCGTCAAACTATCTCGCTTGAGTGAACAAACCACTTTCAGAACTTGTTCAAAACACAGCTCTTGCGATGCTACGAGTTATTTGACAATCTAACTTTTCAAGAATCGGTAACCATAGCAATCCAAAATCATTTTTTCCCCCTGTTTACCTAAGTCTCCAGATATCTTACAACCATCAGTTATATATTGTGTTTTCAGGCTGAGTAAAACCCTCAGCAAACATTTATCATTCGGGCTCATTTTAATTTTACTCACGAGCAAGTCCATGTAATAATGTCTATATTGAGTCACCGTGGTACTGTGTCAGCTAACAAAGCTGTAGATTCATTTTTGCGAGGACGTGGCAACTGAAATATATTTAACCGCTATGTTCCTGGAGATGTTAATAACCTCTAAAATCCCAAGGCCATTGAGGCTAGATTGACCCGGCCTCGCGATCCAGACCCTTGATATACTTGATTCTTACGTATGATGTACGATCCTTCGAAGTAGATAGCGCTATTTATGCAATAGCGAGAATCAAACCTGAAAAAAATCAGGCCTGTACGGGATTCGAACCACTGACCTCTGCGATACTAGTGCAGCGCTCTACCAATTGAGCTAACAAGCCAACTGGGAGCAGGCCGTTAAGTCGATTCGTAATAAACCCGTGATGATAAATCAGATATGATAAAGTCGTATTGGCTGTGATACAGGCTTAAAGGGTACCGGCAAGTTTTCTTCGTGGCGTTTGCCATCATCGTGTTGGACAACAATATGATCGAAATATTAACTTTATTAGTTTTGACCGCATTTGTGGTTCTTAACCCGAATTGAAACAGTTGTGTTAAATATGTTTTTTTAAAGACTGGTCTAAAATGCTGCATAAACATCCTAAGACAATGAAAATATCCATTTTCGGTAATACTTTTCCGTCTTGGGAGACAGGATGCGGAAATTGCGTTAACGGTACAATCAAAAGCAATGGTCTGTCTCAAGACTTTAGTTCCGTAAACAGTTCATGCTATAGAAAAAACAGGTTGAAAAGTTGTTATTTATGCAGTTTCTGCGTTCAGTTTTAGACGTCTTAGTACTTTCTATTTCCACAAAGGAAGATGCGGCCCACACTTGTTTATTATGCGGTGATTATTTGTGCAAACTCGCCTGGTAAGTTTTTTCCTACTTTTAGAGCCGCACCTGTACATATAAAGTCAACATAGCCTTCATTTATTCTGTGTGTGCATGAAGCGTTGTGATATAAAATGGTGTTGGAAAACAGAGATTCGACAATAACAGTTTCTGCAGAGGATGCAAGGTTGAGACCATCATGAATTGAACGCGAGAGTTTGTGACAATCACAGTTGGAACTGACTGACTAGGTAATTGTAATTTAACCAAACGCAGAGCTCAATTCAATTTACTTGCACGGTATGTTCATAGCTAATGTAATTACCAAGATCGTAAGTGCCCATCGATAGTGACATTGAAACAGATGCGTGGCAGTGTCTGAGAGAAGGTGAAAAGAGAAAGTATTATTGAACTCTCTCTCTCGGTGAAGAGTTCTTTATTGAAACTCAGTGGCGAGTCACTTAAGACTATGATTCTCTTGTTATTTTTACGTCGCTACACTGACCCTATTTCTTTGAGAACTTGTTCAAAACACAGCTCTTGCGATGCTAAGAGTTATTTGACATTCTGTCCTTTCAAGAATCGGTAGCCTTAGAAATCCAGAATCGTATGTTCCCCCAGTTTATCTTAAGTCTCCAGATATCTTAGAACCAACAGATATATATCGTGTTTTCAGGCTGAATGAAACCCTCAGCAAACATTTATCGTCCGGGCTCATTTTTTAATTTTATTCGCTGCACGTACATGTAATAATGTCTATGTTGAGTCACCGTGGTAGTATCTCAGCTAACAAAGCCGTACATGTATATTTTCGATGACGTGTGAACTGAAATATATTTAACCGAAAAGTTTCTGGAGATGTTAATGATTTCTAAAATCACAAGGCCATTGAGACTACATTGACCTTCGTGATCCAGTTCCGTGATGTACTTGATTCTATAACTTAGAGATGTTATTAGTAGCGCTATTGTTACAACCATTCGATATTGCAAATGACGTCGGTCGTTACACAGTGTTGACGCAAGCATACTAATTAATCAAATAAGTGTATTAGTTATTTAGGCAGGATGGCACACTCTTTTTCTTTATTCTTAATAAGAACGTCTAAATTCTGAACGTTCTAATTGATCCTTTTTTAATGCGATATAAGCCTGAAAACTTTCTTAACATGTTCTTAAAGTCGTGTAGTTAATTTCATGAAGTTTTTAGAAGTTTCATTCGTAAAGACTAAGTTAGATTACACACTGAGTTGTTCTTAAGTGTATCGTGCAATACTGCATCGTGAATGTTGAAATACGTTCATAAGTATTTGAGTTAATTGTCCTGTTAGACCTTAGTTTTACACCTCTTTTACCATTTTGTATACTTCTCGCAAAAAGATAAAAATCAACATAAAAGACATTCTTAACTGACTCTCAGCCTTGAAAGTTTAGTTAATCTAAGCCTATACGCTCCTTTATATAAAAAAAGGTTGCTAGACGAGTGCACATCAAATGTAGGCTTCGGATTGCAATCAACGAGTGATGCCTAAAAAGGAAATTACGAAGTTTGAGTTATGAAGACATATTTCTTGATAAAGAATCTCAACTTATTTGAAGCAAAAATTACGCTAAAACGCTGCACTTGAAACTTTTTAAGCTAAGCTCTAGAAGATTTATAAAGTAAACAAATAGCTGGGGTGCTCTTTCGTACAGCTATTTTTCTAGAAGAGTAGCAGTATTGATTCGTCTCAGAAAAACCCCGGTAGACCTGTTTTGTTGTTGTTGTTCTATTTTAGCAGTAATAGGACAGCAGCACAATATGTCCCATTCACCAGAGTTTCGATTGAGGAAGACTCTTCTTTCTTCATACGACAAAATGGTTCGTCCGGTGTTGGAGCCGTCAGATGTTGTTCAAGTCGATTACAATGTGCAGTTCCAGGCGCTAAACGCAGTGGTTAGTAAAACTTTCTAAGAAACACCACGTCTAATTCTATAATCTGCAACGGGATGTGTTTGTGTTCCCTGCTTCCTTGATGTCCAACTCACTAGCCCACAAAAGAAGGAATAGTCACGTATCTCGGTTTACGATAATGAGTGGATCTGTTTCATTTTTCTCAAAATTTGTATCACTCAACAGGAAATCTCTCTTAAGAAAATGAAATAAAGTTTTGACACGTAGAAAAGTAAGTCAAGAAGAGAATCTTTTGGTTAACTAACTCACTCCTAAGCCAAATAGCCCTAGTTTCTGAACATGTGTCTGCATCTATTTCACCCCAACGATCAATCACCCTTAAAGGTAAAATGATATTTTCATCGCATGAGGAAATATTTTCATGTCACACAGGACAATAAAGGACAAACTATTACAACAGATATGATGATCACCCAGGTAGGCTATGTTTCAGTTTTAGAAAGTGCAACCTAACTACGAGACAAATGGAGATATGAGCCCTTCCTAATATTTCTGGTGTTAACGTGACTTTAAGGAGTGGTTTTGAAGTTATTATCTAACAACGAATTAAAAGTCGGAGATTCACTGAAATTTATACCTATATTTTATCTATAACGACCGAAAGATATGTAAATAGAATAAATTTCATCTTTACTACCGAAAAAAAGCAAAAAGTTTGATTTTCTTTTAAAACTTGATTGTAAAAGGGCAAACCCGAAAATTTTCCCAATTTGTTGTATGTGTCTGCATGTGGAAGTAACTTTTCAGTCCATAAATATATAACTATTGCAAAGAAATTTGAGGCAAACTTTCCAGAACTCTAAACTATTTCAAATTGATTTGCCTGTATTTTGCAACAGTTCGGCTAAAGTGGAAGCTGGATTTTTTATATCTGCATATAGTTTGCACAGTTGGCAGCGGTAATTAAGGTTCGAATATCATCAACCAAGCGCCCTCATAATTGTTTTTTTCGGGCTGAACTCCTCCTGCCTCTAAATATTCATAATTTTATCTATAATGAAGGTTCTCGGTGGAATACGAAGATCCCAATTAAATAAATGTATATACCTGTAATAGTTGATGGTAACTTTTTATTAATTCCTTTATCTTTTACTCCTCAAAACGGATTAACCTAACACGAGCTGTCGCAAAGTCTTATAACTCTATTCCTTGGCTCGCAGAAATGGAATAATCCTTACCTACGTTGGGATCCCTTGAATTATAAAAACTTAACACAGATACTTGTGGATCCAAGAGAAGTTTGGGTACCTGATATAGTACTAGAGAACAAGTAAGTTAAATTCTGAAGCATTTCAAATCATGAGACTTTGAAAGTGGCGCGGAATAAGCTACTATTCCAAGAGGTAATAAACTGTTGATATTCTCTTGGTTACACTAAAAAACAAAAGATCATAATCTCTTGATGGTATAAAAATATTTAGAATGCTCTTTAAAGTTGAAACAACAGGATTATTTTGCATCGGTTTGAGAATTGAAAAACATGGACAATAATACAAGTGCTCCTTTCTGGCTATGGTTCGACCCCTGGGCTTTAATTGAGTTGCTTTCAAATAGTATTTCGTTGTGAAGTATTCTTAGTTCCACCGGTCATGAGCATTACTGACAATCTGTGCATATCCACTTCTTTCAACCTCCAGTGCCGATTATGGTGTCGTTCAAGCGGGACACTTGGAAAAATTCCGAAGTTGGGTGCGTTTGCACAGCAATGGGCAAAACACGTGGCTATCTCCAGCAACGTTCAAAAGCAAGTGCAAGCTCAGTTTTAAGGACTTTCCCTTTGACTTACAGGAGTGCAGTATGTCTTTTCGTTCAGTAACATCTGATCGCACCCTTTTGAATGTCAAAACCAAATCAATCAAGAACGATGATCCTGAGGAAGGTAAGGTTACATGGAAACATTTGTGTTAAAATTCAATGATCAGAAATAGGAGCCCAAATAACTCAATTCAAATATTGCCTTACTGAAAACAGTAATGTAAGCAATTATATATCAATATATTACTTTTCTAATTTTTCGGGATTCAGAGCTTAATATTACCACATCTAATGGTTATTGGTCACTAAGAAGCATTGAGATCAAGACAGAGGATGCAACGCAATCGCCGATATTCAGTAAAGTTGAAGTATCATTCCGTATTGGTCGCAAACCCATGTTCTTTGTACTTTTCACCATCGTTCCATGCAGGATCATTGGGCTGCTGATTCTCGTCAGCTTCTTTATACCAACGGAGGCTGGTGGGAGGATCGGTTTGTGTTCCACGATTCTGCTGTCAATCAGCGTGTACCTACTCGTCGTCGTAAATGAACTTCCAGAACAATCTGACGAGTTGCCCCTCATTGGTGTTTACTACATTGTGATCATGTTTGAGATCGGTCTGGCGCTGACCACTACAGTTCTGATCACAATGGCTCACCATGCGACTTCCGAGCCACCCGTCATCTTGACTTGGATAACAGGTGAGGCTAATAAGAAAGAAAGAAAAAAAAATTTCAGCAATGAGTCCATAATTGACAGTAGCAATTTTAACGGTTACTCATGATATGGAAAATTAATCATGATTACAGAAAGATGTTTTTCGTCTAGTCACGAGCGTGGTACAAAGAAAAAACTCTGAACATCCATGAGGAATTGAACGTCAGAAACGCGTCCTGTATACTGCTAGGATTGGCAGTGTCAAAAGCGTCATCTTTTGTAAAGAATAAGAAAGTATGCAGGACGCGTGTGAAATATGATCTTCGTAATGGACCTTGCTCACCATAGAGTCGTTATGGCTAAGTGGTAGAGCATAGGAGCGCGGAATCCGAAGGTCTGAGGTTCAATTCTTCATGAATTTTTTCTTTGCACCACACTCGTGACCAGACAAAAACATCTTTCTATATTTCTTTACCGTGCTCAAAACTTATCATCTTTCTTATTCTTTACAAAAACATGATAATCTTGATCATGACGATGATGATTACAGAGAGAAAGGAAACGATAAGAGTGACCTACTAAAGACATTGATACGCTCCTCAAGGCAGTTCTACAAAAGGCCAAAAACTAGCTCTATCGATTTTTCAAATTTCAGTGTTCAACAAGATTGGCTCCTGGGTAAGAAAAAAAAGCAGATTCGACAGCAATCAATCTACTTACGGCACATCTCCTCAAGTTATTGAAGGAAATGTCAACATTGAAATGGTGAAAGTTTCTCATGAGGAGCTTGGAAAGGTGGATTAGCAGATTTCAGCAGACACCCTGGAGGAGCAGACGATATCCACTTCAGTTTCTAAAGACGTCAACCAAGAAACCTGGAAGGAAATCGCTCGCGCACTGGACCGTGTTTTCTTCTGGTTGTTTTTGGCGCTGGTTGTGTGTTCTTCCATTGCCATTTACTCACACGCAGGAAAGCTTTAATCACTTGGTAGATATAATTACTACTGGCCTCTTAAAAAACTGCTTAGTGAAGTCTACTCTGGTGTGTTCCATATATTAATCAAGTAATTTCTGTCTACTTTTAAGTAGCTTTTGTTTCTCTTGAGACTAACCGTGTGAACAAATCCAAAAGCTTGTGGTTTAACCGGTCCCACTACTAAGTGGTAGTAGACAGACTGTAAAGCGGGCAGGACAAGCTAGCTGAGTGAATTTAACTAATAAAATCTAATTGCTCCTTCCAGTCGAAGTCCAAACTGACTGGTATTATTAAATGCAGCAATATTTGCTGGAAACTGGACGCAAAATACTTTAATTAGTTAGGATGATCAAATCGAAATTTGTAATGAAATGTTTCCATCATCATGATTTTAATTGCGAATAATAACATTTTCAAGAACTAAGAGTGAAGGACGAGAGAACTCAAAGGTCAAGCAAAGAACGAAAGAAAAACAGTGGGGAATGAAGGAAAAAGGCCATGAAAAGATAATAGAAAGTTAATCACGTTGACGGTTGACGGTTAAAAATAAGCCTTTTGACGGTTGACGGTTAAAGTTAAGGTCATATGGAATGTCGTTTATAAAAGGAACCAAGCGTGGGAATTTGGGGGTAATATTTCATAATGACGCTTTTCTAAGAAACTTTTAATCCATAACACTTTTCATTAATAAATGACTAACGCTTTACGACACCAGAATTGTTTCCACACCGGAAGGCAGTTCTCTCGCTAACCAGTTTTATTTGCGGCTAGAGGTTATATAGGCTCGATTACCAGCCGCTGTTCGGGAACCGGAGCCCGCGCTCCTCCCCGAACTCTTTTCGTGGAGGAAAGAAAAGGACCGGACTCGAGAGAGCGGTGGAAATCGAGCCTAGAAGTTATAGGACTTACATAAATGTATTTTTGCGATATATCAAACTTTGATGTATAGAAAAACCGAACTTGATCCCAATTAAGGCAATCGTTTAGCTCTTAATTAAGGATATCTGAGACATTTGATGGCTAACATTGGCTTGCTTATTTGACGGTTGAAGGTACAAATTTTGCGTTTTTGACGGTTGACGGTTAATAATTTGGCCATTTGAAGGTTAACGGTTAAAGGTTAACCTTATTGGACTCCCTGAGAAGAAGAGAGCTTTAATCTCTTTTCTAAGCTTGTTGAAATAGGAACTGTTTAGGTGATGCAGTAAACCTTTTTGGGATATGTATCAACTCAGCATGTCAAAGTTTTAAACTCGCTTGCTATGTTACATTTTAACGCGTTTGTAAAGAATTATATAAGTACCCTTGTAAAAATCTAATAAAAATACTGAGTGTTTTCGTTGCAACAGCCTGACAAGAGGAGAGTTGCATATCTTGATTAAATCTTGATTTAGAGTTTTTCCCTTTTCTATATACTCTGACGTTCATTGATAACGAAACCTTCGGAAAGTACTTGAAATAATAGAAAACAAAAAAAAAAGAAAAAAAAAGGTCTTTTGAGTGAGGGACAAATAGTACTTCTGCACAGCATTAAAATTCAGTACATTTCTTCATCACGACAGCACGATTAGGACAGGAAGAGAAATACCGCTGCCCATGTGTGCAGAATTTACCTAATGATACAGTTGTAATGGTTGTGACAAAGTCTTAAAGGGTACCAAAAATAATAATAATAATAATAATAATAATAATAATAATAGTAAGGATTTATTAATTCATGGTGCGCCTTTTAACATACCAGGTGAACAAAAGCGCATACCAATACACTTTCTACGTGGCGTTTTGCCTTCATCTTGTTTTGGTCGCTGTAATGAAAAATAGATTATTTCAGAAAGCAATAGGATCATTACATACCAACCTTTAGCCCACTGGTTTTTACCACATCGGAAATTATTAGGCAAAATCTAACAAGTCGTGTTAAATATATGTATATATTTTTAAGACTGCTCTGACATGCTACAAAAACATCTTAAAATAATGAGAATATCTACTTTTCAAAACACTTTTCCGTTTTGAGAGAGAACAAGCTATTGCGGAAGATACACACTCAGAAGTATGGTCTGTGTCAATGTGTCAAGACGGTTGCTATTAGCAAAACAGATAAAGAAGGTGTGTTACCTGAAAACGTGATGGCTCTGTTTGTGCGTTCAGTTTTAGCCACCTCGGTACTCTCCATTTCCACAAGGAAGATGTGGCCTGTTTTAGGTCATTTTGTATTGGTTAATTGTGCAATCTCGCCTGGTAAGGTTTTTCTTACTCAGATCTAGTTAGAGCTGCATGTGTGCGTCCAAATTTATAGCGCCTCATTTACTATGTGTGTTCGAGACAATGAATAGTGTATTGGAAAACATAGATTCGACGGTAGCAGCTTCGGCACAGGTTCCAAAGTTTAAGACAATTACGAGATGAATTAAAGCATTTCTTGACACGTACAGTTAACAGTAACTATGTACTTCAGTCCAATAACGCTGAGTTCAATTCACTCGTACGTTACGTTCAGAGCTAAACTAATAGTCATTGTAACTTCCCATAGTAACATTCAAACGGATGCGTGACAGTGACTGTCTCGTTGAAGTATTCGTGATTAAAACTCAGTGGGCGAGTCACCCAAGAATTTGAATCTCTCGTTATATATTTTAACGTTGAGACACCGATCCTATTTCTTGCTCCCAGGAGAAATCATTGCTTTGCACAGGTTCATGTCAAAATTGTGTCCCGATCAAATAGATGTACGGACGTTCTCGTTTCAAAATTTTCTTTCTAGGCAAATATCGCGTTTAATATTTGTTATTATCAACAACTTAGCTTGCTTGAGCAAACGAACCCCTTTCACGGACCTTGTTCAAAAAATGGCTCTTGTGATACCACGACTCATTTGACATTCCTTGTTTATCTTAAGTCTCCAGGACACATCAGTCATATATTGTGTTTTCAAGTTATGTAAAATCATCAACACTTATTTTCCTTCGGGTTCATTTTTAATCTTGCTCGTGTGGGCATCCATGTAATTTATATAATTCTACAATGAGTCGCCGAGGTACCGTGATTTCAGCTATCAAGGCTGTACGAATATTTGTGCTATGCCGCGTGTAACTGAAATCTTCTTGAAGATGTTAATGATTCCTAAAATACCACGTATTCATCTTCACTATCCAGTTTCATGATATATTTGATTCTATAACATAGAGATGTAGTACTACTGTGGCAACCATTCTATTAGGGAAGCCAGTTGCGAGTTCAATAATATGCGGATAAGAACGTCTTATTTTGGGGTTCAACGTTTTCCTTTTTTTTTATATCATTTTTTGGGCTATTTGAGCCTAAAAACGTTCATAACATGTTCTTAAAGTTGTGTGGTTTCTTTCATGAAGTTTTTAGAAGTCTCATTCGTTCAGACTGATTTCGATTACAAACTGAGTGGTTCTTAAGTGAATCGTACGATAAGAAAACCGCATTATTAATGTTAAAAAAAAATGACGCCATACATTTAATTGTCCTACTAGACCATAGTTTTAAATTTCTTTTGCTTTCATTTATACTTCCCCTTCCTAGATTAAATAAATAAATATATAAATAAATAAATAAATAAGCAAAATAAAGACTTTCTTGACAAACTCTCAGCCTTGGTATGTTGTTGCTATGCTCATAAAATTTCGGTTAATCTCAGCCTCAAGAACTGAAAAATTAAAAAAAGAATGTTTATACTTCTGATAGTAATCAACAAGAGAGTTTTGGTCACAGAAACAATGTGGTAAATTGACATTATTATACATTCTCTTACGTCGTACCTACAGAAAATAGATTTTACATATGTAGAAGTGACGTCATACCTACAGACAATAGATTTTACATATGTAGAAGTGACGTCATACCTACAGACAATAGTTTTACGCGCTCTTGCCTTAACAAGTGCAGCTCAGGAATAGGCATTATAAAACAATTATTGAGTTTAATTTTCGCATGACAGCGATAATTATTGAGGCCTCAGTTTGTTGTGTTATCCGCCTCAGCCTTCGGCTTTGGCAAACAAAACTTTAGCCTTGATATTTATCACTATTATGTTCAACCTCATTCAATAATTGTTCATTATTTGGAACGTTTATACCTGTTTTTGTTTTTGTTTTTGTTTTTTTGTTTTTTTTTTGTGAGCAGTGGTTGGACAAAAGCACAATATATCACACTCAGAAGAGTATCGATTAAGGAAGGCTCTCCTTTCTTCGTACGACAAAGTTGTACGTCCAGTGTTAAAGCCGTCAGATGTTGTAAAAGTCGAATTCAATGTGCAGTTCCAGGCACTCAGTGCAGTGGTAAGTATTAGTCAAGATTATGCATTCCTCATCAACCTGAACCGCCAAACCAGCAATGCAAACATAAGAAACATAATTGAAAATTAAACGACACTTACCTGGAAGTTGAAGTTTGATTGGAATTCTATGAGTCATTACACTGCATCCTGGGATAACATGAGATTGCTTGCGCATGCGTACATCAGTTTTTAAAGCTCGAGTGTGGATGTTTTCTACTGAAGAGGACTGTAGTATTTCCCATAGTGCGTAATATATGTATTACTAAGTAGTAAGGGAGGCAAGAGTGGGCGGGCATGTTATCCCTGGATGCAGTGTAATGACTCATAGAATTCCAATCAAACTTCAAGTTCCAGGTAAGTCTAGTTTAACTTTCAATCCAATTTCGTCATCACTGCATCCGGGATCCCATGAGATTTTAGAGCCAACATACACATGAGAGGAAATAAAGCAGAAGTAATTATTTGGTAATGGAAAAACCCAACCCAATTGTACATATAACAATCAAAGTGACTGAAATGTCAACAGTTGTTGATCAACACAACAAGACAATTATAACTGTCCAAGAGACTGATATGTGAACAATTCACTCAGTCAGCTTTCAGTACAGAATCGGCAAATGTGGAATGTGGTTTGTTGTAAAATCTGTCAAATGTCCGGTGATTAGACCAGCCAGCTTGTTTCAGTATGTCCTGTATAGGAACACAAGCTTGAGTTGCTTTGGATGCTGCAGCCGATCTAGTGCTGTGGGGCTTGAATTTGGTAATATCAACTCCAGCTTTCAGCTTAACTGTACGAATCCATCTTGCTATTGTGTCCTTGGAAACTCCTCTGTGAGGTTGGACATAACTAACAAAGAGCTTATTTTCCTCCCCTCGAAAAAAATTTGTTTTCTTGAGATATTCATTCAAGTGGTTAATTACACATAATCCTGGGTCTGTAGGGTATGCTTTAAGGATAATGGTGGGGGTTTTATACCCTGGTCGGCTTTGTTTGATACGTGTAGGAATAACAAATTCAACCGTATCGTTGCTAGGTTTCATAAACTGTAAATCAAGTAATTGAATGCTCTGAGCTCTCTGTGCTGACACAAGTGCTATCAACATAGCAAGCTTATGAGTGAGATTTCTAAGATCCAGCTGGCTTGGTGAGGCAAAGGATGACAGACACGATAAGACTACTTGAACATCCCAAGTGGATTCATTACCAGGGCAAGCAGGTCTGTTTCTAAGTATGCCTTTCTTAAACCGTGAAATCAGAGGCTGGTTACCAAGGGGTGGGCCGTTCTTATGGCAGAGACTGCTGATTTAGCTGTATTGATTGCGTCATATCTAAGGCCTTTGTCATATAAGCTTGTAAGAAAATCTAGGACCTTGATTAGAAGTGGATCATAGGGACTAACCTTCCTTTCACAACACAGCTTGAGCCAGGTCTGTAGATAAGGTTGGAACTGATTGAGCCGGGAAGTATGTGCCCAGGAACACATGATGATTTCTGCAGCTTTGCTTGATACATTCTTCTGCAGGAAACTAGTCCTGATAATTTGC